ATATATATATATATATAATGTTATAATTTTATATTATTATCATTATTATTATAATTAGTGCTATCTCGCACGAATTTTCCACCCAAACATGTCCCCACGGCAAAATGAGTGTCTCCTTTAAGTAAACTTGACGCTCTAAACGCGATCACGTAGTCTGTTTTATCATCCGGGGTCATTTGAACGAGCTTGCTGGTGATCGGGTCAATTCTAGCCAACTTCGTGCGCGACGCGACGTATAAAATTTGTTGACACTCGTGATATCCAAAAACCGATGCCAACACTTCTCTGCAATTCGTATGATATACATGACCTCATACGATAGTCACGAATCTGGTCGTCGATGTTAGAAGTGAAGGTAGAAGTGGAAGCTAAACTATTATTTCTAACTAAGGGGTTAGATAGAAGAGATGTAGAGGTACAGGAAGAAGAGGCCATATCAAAGTTGCTTTTGTTTTTCTTGAAGAAAAATCGTTTTAGGATTTTGATAAACAAAAAGCTTACCTCTATGTCTAGAAGTTTTATATGGTTGAGATGGTTCACCAAGGGATAGAAATTGAAGACTATTTTGTAAATCAATTAAAGAATATTCAACAGTTTTATTACTTTTCGAGTAATCCCTCTATTTAATTTCCTTTAATCGATCTTCCAAAACTAAGAGCCTATCTGAGAGTTTTAAAACAAGTTGAAACAAAGTATTATTCTGCTTTATGAAAGCGCCTAAAGCAGAGGTAACACCTTGATGAGAATCGACAGGGTTTACAAATCCTAAGTCAGGAGGCTCAAGAGAATCAGTAGCTAGAATGACTTGTTTGTAATCTGTTGAAGCAGATGATTGCTTCCAATCGTTCATAAAAAGTTAAAACCAAGTTGATAAAAGAAGTACTCTGAATTCACTTTTCAAAAACTCAAGTTGTTAAACTAGTATAACTTTCTCAAATTATAAGCTAAGATTGATATAATCCAACATCATAAATTCAGAAAATAAGTTCCTTAACACGCTTAGCAGATCCTTTTCAACCCTACAATTCCACAGTGCTCCTACTATTCTCGGAGATCTCGTCGTGGCACTCAGGTTTACTGGCTGATCATGCTAAGTAACACCGTCTTATTTAAAGAAAGTATAATTTTAATACAATAAAGAAAGTATGTATATATATATATATATATATATATATATATATATAATTATTGAATATGATCTGAAATTTTGCATGATTGAGTGAAGTGGTACTCTATGCACATAGCTTTGATAGTTGTATGGATTAGGATTTCTTTAAGATGGAAGGCCTGTGAGAGAGTCAGAGACTTATCCTTCATTCCAAGCTTAGGCCAACCTTCATTATGCATCCCATGGAGTTAGAGAGAGAAAGAGAGAACTTTTTGTCGCATATTGTTATTTAACAAATTACATGTGTAGTTCCTTCTTGAATTTTATAAAACATCTATATATATATATATAGTTGTATAGTAATTTGCACTTTAAAAATAATTTTATTTCTTACAAAACAACTCAACATACCACACCATCATGTCATCATCAACTAAAGCCTAAAATCATGCTAAACCATAATCAAGAGCCAATAAGCCAAGCTCTGACATTACATAAAGCATGTAATTATAAACATAATAAAAATAAGTAAATAATTATATAAGTTGTTTGATAATTCATAAAGGGTGGTGGTGGATAACGTGGATAGATTCTCATGAGGGGGAGGTCCCGAGGCCACAAACCCTCAAAACAAGGCTTGAGTGGGCTCTCTTTGCCCCCAACTTCTTGTTTTGTGGGCTTATGCTTTGCCTTTTAGTTCAAATTATTGGCATTTTTCATATTTATATAGGAAAAATATTAGGTAGTAATATAATATGTTTGGTAATTAATAATATATTATGAGATAAAAGTTAATTAGGTATATTAAGTTATGATTATATTTCTAATGTGTCATTTATGCTTCTTCCTAATTCAAGCTATTTAATTTTTGGTTAATATTTTTATTTTTTTTTTAATTGTAGTAGTGAGGTTTTGTTACAAATTAAAAAGAAGAGGATAACAAGGAAGGACATGATGGGTGCTAAATGGAATCAATTGTCATGTGATTTTGGCCTTGGGATGAGGGTAAGTTTGAAATGAAAGGAAATAGTTAAGTGGGGTTAGGGGCTATAAGATGCTTTGCCTTTGGAGGGAAGGGCTTTCATTAGACTCATTTAAATTATATTATATAGCTTAATTGGCATATATTTGACATTTAATTTAAAGTTATTAGGAGCTATGATTCCTAATAAGTTTTCTCACAATGTTGGTAAGATTAGGGATTTTTTTTTTAAATTTGTTATAGTTAATTGTGAAGTTATTTTAAGATGTGTTTTAAAAAATAGTTTTAAAATTAAATTCATAATTTATTTTTTATGTGATAGTTCTAGTAAAAATATTTTTATTAAAAATATATCACTAAAAGATATTTTTATAATAATACACCTACCTGCAAATATTTAAGAAATTCTATGATATCTTTAATTATTTAAATAGATAAAAAGTTAGCGTGTTCGAATGCTTTTCATTATGAAGTTTAATAGAGAAACAAAAGTTAATTATTCCATTTTGAATAATTTTCATTATGTCATTAGCATTAATGAAGAAGAATATATAATCCATATCAAGCATATATGCTTTAATTATGTACTCAATAGTTTGTTTTTTTAGTTTAATTAAATTTTTATTGAGCTAAAACACTTTATTTTATAGTTAGCTTTTAAGCTAATTAGTGATAAATTTCTTAATTAGAGAAAAAAAATATTTTTAAAAATTTATAACCTCAGCATTTATTTAATTATTTTTCAAGTGAAGGATTTATATTTTCTTAAATTATTTAATTATTGTTCCAAATTATTTTAAATTTAAGATTTCTTGAATTCTATTTAATAGATCATATAAAAGTGAATCTCATTTATTTACAAATATGCCACTGTGAACTAACTTATTAAATAAACACTCAAGCTTAGCTTTCCCTCTGAACCCATTCCACGGGTCTACTCAAACCGTATCACAGGCCGAACCAATCCAATCAGAAGCCGGTCCAAATTACTTTTGGAATTAAATAAGCCTGGCCTTGAAAAGCCCGAGGCTGAGCCGGGCCGGAGCCCAATACCAAGCCATCTAAGCCTAGCCCAAGCTTTATTATAAAATTACTTTGGCTAATTAATCACTTATAACTTTAAAAACAAAAATTAGTATTTAATTAATCCAAACTTAATATATCTAATCATATTGAGCTCACCACCTAAACCTGTCACCATATGCTCCCTGTCCCCCATCACCCCTTCGCCCTCACTCGACCATACATATTTACTTTAGGGGCATTTACATAAATAACACACCCAACTAAATGTCAAGTTATTACAAAAATATAATTATTGTTATAAAAAATATATTGTGTAATTTTTTAAAAGCGAATTACATCATTTCATGCATAGGGCTGTAAACGAGCCGAGGCTCGTGTTCGGATTGTTCGAAATTGCTCGTGTTCGAAATCGGCTCGTGTTCGAAACCGGCTCGTGAACAGTGTGTTCGTGTTTGGCTCGTCCTCGACTTGAAATTGACCCGTTAAAATTAAACTAAAAAAACATATGTAGAGTGTTGGATTCAAACATGAACCAAATGTATGCTAAACAAGGAGTATAGCCACATTATCACAAGAACAATTACGATTTAAACTTATATATATATATATATATATATATATATACATATAATATTGTTTGTAGTTTAGTTTGACTATTTTCATATTTTAGTGTGTTTGCTTATTTTAATTACTTATTGTGTTTTTTTATGCGTAAGGTAAGATCTGAAGATTTAGCACCTTACGATTCAGAGTTTCAAAAAGCTTTTAGAAACAGTTAGAAAACAAAAAAAAAAGACAGATCATTTTAGCAAAATGGCTTGCAACTCAAGTAATGTTAGAAATGAAAATGAACATCATTAGAGACCTTTTAAAAATTTTGTTAATCCTACAGTATTTGAAATTCATTTGAGTACACAAAACCTTGTTATAGAGGCCTATTCATTTAGCTTAAACCTTATATTATCCAAAAAGTACAAAATAATCAGTTAGGAAGAACACCAACTGAAGACTCAAATTTACACCTTGCTAGTTTTCTAGAATTGGTCTTTAAACTACATTTTGTTTAACATTCTCTCATTTACTCTAGAATCAAATTTTATACTTCACTTTGGTAGTTTAAAATGCAGTTTACCTAAACATTTTCTTATAATTATTGCATCGATTGGTGTAAATGAAAGTAGTTTTAGGGATTTTTATGAACATTTAAAAGTCATATATAAATTATAAATAAATATTCTCATACAAAGGAGAAATATTTGCATATGTAAGACATTTTCAGAGATGCGTACATCGCAGGTTATTTAGAGGGTATTGAGGGGTTATAGCTATGTTACAGAGATGTTACAGAGAGGTATAACACAAATATGACCCCCCAATACTATCTGAATAACCTCCGATGCACGCAATACTGCAAACGTCTTACGTACACAAATTCTTCTCCATATAAAGATAAGGGTGTAAATGAGCCGAATATTCTCATTAAAAAAAATCAGTTTGTGTTCGACTTGTTTACATTTCAAATAAAAAAAAATGTGTTAGTGTTCGACTTGTTTGTTTAATGAGTCGAAGAAAAAGTTGTTTTGACAACCCTAGTCGTGGAGCATTAAGACATCAAAAGCTGCGGCAATCTTTAAATATTATTATTTGTCTTAAAATATCATTTAAACTTGATTTAATTCATTTTTATTCTATCTTATTAATACTTTGGATTAATTATAAATCTTTGTAGGCTTGTTGTTAATTAATTTTTTTAAAAATATCAATTTTATATATATATAGTTGCTTTCAAACAAAATAAATATGGGGCAATTATATACATTCCACCCTAAAGTTGCTATTTACAAATTAAATCCCCACTTTCATTTATTTTCAAAATTCTCACCCATATATCAAAATTCATGGTAAAATCCAACCAATATTTTCATTTATATCAAATTCTTAATTGGAAAACATAAATATGTTTATTTCGTAGCTCAAAAAAAAAATCTCAAATATTATTTTATAAATAATTTGCATTTAATTATTCAAAAATGAAATATTAAATATATTTTTAAACACAAACAAATATTATATTAAAAAAAGGGGCAATTACTTACATATTTACAAATCAATCAAATTCTTTAATTCACTTTTCAAATTCTCACTTAAATATTAAAATGCATGATAACCCCCCAAACTCATATTAATTTATAAATACATCGATTCACTTAAACATAAATATTTCCTTAAATTTTATTTTTTTTTAAATAAATCAATTTATTTTTAAAAATATTTAAAACAAAATTTTAAAAAAATAAATAACTATATTATAACATATTAAATATTTTTTAATTTTAAATAAAAACATAAATAAAATAAAAAAAATGATCATAATGTATGTTGTTCTTAAAATTTCAAAAATATATTAATTTCTTTTCAAAAATAAAAAATATTTTTTAAAAAATAAATAAAAATCATTAAAAAAAAAAAAAGGTCCCTCTTGGATTCCTGCGCTCCAATTGCTTCCCGCTTCCCTCTTCCCCCTCTGTTCTCCTCGAGAACAATGGAGGGAGACCCAATGCAAGAATAAGTAGCCAGCTTCCATCTCAGCGCAGAAAGCCGGCCATTTCCCAATGCCGAGCTCGAGCCTCCTAGCTCTCCTCCTCCTCCTCCTCCTCCTCCTTCCATCTTCCTCCTCCCCGAACCCCGAAACCACCGCTCTT